CGACTCGTCCAAGCAGTCACTGCAGGGTCAGCAATGACTGAGCACAGATTAAAAAAAAAAAAAAAAAGTGTAACAAAGAATGCCCATGAGAGCTTTCCTTAATTTTTGGCATGGTAAAGAAACACTGGAAAGCACTAAAACCAGGTTGTAATTGTTGGATACAATGAAATGTAGTACAATGGGAATTGTTACAGGGCAGCAAGAGATGTTGAAGATTCAACCACCTGTAATGTAGGTTCAAGATTCAAAGCATTTTATGTTTCTTTAATCTCGACAGATAAAGCATTCAAACCAGTTTCTTGTTCCCACAGATCACTCCAGACTACAATGCTACATTAAAGCCACAAATAAATGACCAAGACACCAACTCATTGCACTCATTGCTATATATATATTATCAGACCAGCTGATAAGCTGCACATGTCCCTTTTAGAAAAAACATATAACCCTACTGTTATTTCATCTAAGAATAGCAATTCTTGGGTAGAACATCTGTACAGTAGCAGGTTAAACACATACAGATTCTTTTGATTGTCTTTTTAAATGTTTTGCTTCAGAATGTTTTTCCCCATCCAACTCTGAAGTCTACATTAGCTGGACAAAACCCTTGAAGTAAATGACCACGGACTTTTATGGTATGTTATAAAAATGTAGACTTTGCACACTGAGAAGTTCTCCAGTGGAGCGTATATCACAGCTCATCCCAAATGATGAAGTTTGAACATCATACAAAGAAAAAAATGGCCACATGTCCTTCAGTATAGTTCATGGGTAAATGAGATCAAACTGTCAAAACTATTAGATCAAAATGCTTAATGCTGTCAGATTTCTCAGCCTGAATCTACAGATGTGGGTTGAAATTCCTCCTCGGTCATAAAAGCACGAAGGATAAACCGAGAGCCTTACAGCATGCAGCAATGACATTTGTGCCCTCATGATGTTCCTAGTCAGGTAATGAAATGTCTACAGGCAAACAACCAAGCTCAGAGAGCACCAAGGCCTCCACAGTTCAACCCTGAGCTACAGATATTCTCTTCTATTAGGCTGTGCATCACTCCCAGCTGCTGGCTGAGGAGGGTGTGTGGTTTACTTCCAGGTCTCTCAATTCTTGGTTCTCCATCTATTAGACATCTTCATTAACTTTCATGAAGGTGTGGTAAGGATGAAGATGCAAAACTAGGAATAAATGTTAAAAAATTGTGAACTCCAGAAATTCTTAGTGACAAGTGAATTGTTGTTCATAGCTTATGATTAAAAAGGAAATGAAATAATTAGTATCATTGGGAATTCATGTGATGAACAAAAGGGAAATCTATTCCGTCGTCTGATAATTTCAAGACAGGAGATGCTATTTGGCATTTATCCCTTGGGAACTGGGAGAGTTCCTAACATTTTTGCTTCAGAATATGGTTCACAAAACCAAATCCAGTAACAGTTCATGCAATGCAGCAGACAATAGACCAATAATTAACATGGAAAATCTTGTAGACCTTTCCTAACTCTTGTATATATTAATTTTTATAAATACAGTAACTCTACACCAAGAACTGTAGAAAGACATTGCTCAAGGAACCTTTGTCCTGAGTATAACCTCATTTCCTATTAGATTCCTCCACCAGCTCTATAGAATTTCCTATAATACAAGCCAATCAGCAAAAACTTGGGCTCCTTTCAATACATTTTTTTAAAAAAAGTATACCACCCTTGATTCAGTCAGGTTCACCCACTCGCCCTGCAAAATGAGACAGGCACCTGCTTAGTTCAAGTCAGTCAAACAATTTTGCCAATGAAGACAAGTGCAACAGTATCTCTCGAAGTTCTAAAAGTCCCATTGATGTTTCCAGTAACTCGTAACTGATCCAGTTAACAGTCATAGCTCATCTCTGGCAGATGATGCTTCAAGAGAAGGTTCAGGTGGCAAGGCATTCTTGTTCTGGGCATCTCTGTGGATCTGGCCCTGTCGTCGTGACTTCCGGGAGAGTGTTCTGTCCCAATCGGTGGCCACAGTCTCATTGTCCCAGATTGTGGATGTCTCTGTGTCACTGAGGTAACCTGGTTGCCCAGTGTAGTGGGTTGGATAGATCAGCAAAGGCTCTGCAGAGAAAGCTTTCAAATCTCTAGGTTCATAGTGTTCCATGTACTTGGCACTAAAAAAAACAAAAGATGTCCAAAAAAGCCACAAAGAAGAAAGGGGTTACTTTATTGCCACATGACTGCCATTTTATTTCTCTTTTTTGATATCTTTTGTATCTCACAGCAGGACAAATATATAATGGCTATTAAACTGAGTGATTCATTAAACATTCTTTTATCTCTGTCACGAACCCATATTTGCCTACCTCAACTAGTGATAATACATTGACCTACTTTATGTAAGTGTAGGGAGGACTGATTTATTTTCTACAATTATAAGCCACCTTTTAACATAAAGGCCTTACAGACCAGTATCATAAAATTATACATGCCATGTGGGGTCAATAATTTTAAAAATCTGAGGAACAAGAAGAGGCAACTCCAAGTCAGTAAGTTAGAAAGTATTGGCAAAATGTTGTCCTCATCTAGTTCTTAGGCAAAGGTATAACATAACTTAGTGCACAACTATCAAGAAAACCTTTTTCCCAATATAATTTCCCTTATTTCAACTTTTGATTGAAAAAAATGTAATCAAACATGAATATGAAAGATACTCACCAACTAAAAGGTATCAAAAGATATATGAAGTTATCATTGGTCTCCTCATAAGCTTTCTTGGCCTTATTAAAGCCGTTGCAGCTTCAAATATATCTGGATGACACAATTATTTGAGCTTCCAGCTGGAATATGCTGGCAAGGCCATTTGGGTCATCTTAATAGATGACTTTTATGGGAAACGGGATGGAACGAATGCAGCCCTCATAATTCTCTTTACTGTTTTAGATTCTCTGGGGAACTAGGCCTTGGGGAGGAGTGTTTTGCAGCAGTTGCTATTTTTAATGTCTGGCCAGCTCTAGAAGGAGATGTTGGAGAACAACAGCTCAAGATCTAGGTTATTAACGTATGGTACAGTGGTACCTCGGTTCATGAACTTAATTCGTTCCGCGACTCTGGTTGCAACCCGAATTGGTCGCGACCCGAATCAAATTTTCCCATAAGGTTCAATGTAATTACGGTTAATCCGTTCTGACCCCTCCAAATTTGGTCGCAACCCGATTTTGGTTGCGTGCCGAATCAAATTTCCCCATAAGGTTCAATGTAATTACGGTTAATCCGTTCTGACCCCTCCAAATTTGGTCGCAACCCGATTTTGGTTGCGTCCCGAATCAAATTTCCCCATAAGGTTCAATGTAATTACGGTTAATCCGTTCTGACCC